CTTGATTTGCCGGAGACGTCCATAGATGAGCCCAAGCCAATTTTATCCTTGTGTTTTACTTGTGATTCCACACATGGTCAAGTCAAGTATAGTTATCGGGGACGTATTCTGGGGGAATCAAAACATGACAGCTATACTATGAGTTTTGGGTCCAGAGGGGTCACAGCCAGAGAACGTTTGCGCAGCCATTTTCTTAGGACTGAGAAAAGCCAGCAGAAGCCACATGATCCCCAACTGAGAGAGATGCCGAATCCCAAACCTGTAGCTGCAGTGCCCGTCATGTCAGGTTCAGCCAAGGTCACTCCCAATCAAGTGACGTCCGACGAGGCAGGTCCAGGTAAAATGAAGAATGCTACAGATGTTCCTACCATAACCAACAATCCAGTGTGTTTTGCAACTCATGATGCCTATGGAGTGCTTGACCTTGGCGCTTCCAAGACCGTAATAGGGTCTGAACACGTAAAGTGCCTAATTCGAAGCTTGGATGAGGAAACCCGTGCCCGGTTGACACGATGTCCATGCCAAGTGACCTTCAAGTTTGGTAACCAAGGTACTTTGACCAGCAGCCAAGCCATCGTGGTACCCATAGGCAGTCTTAAATTAAAGATAGCAATCGTCGAAGGTGGAACACCATTCCTCATCAGCAACACTTTCATGCGGGCCATTAGGGCCAAGATCGATTGCTCCACGTACAGCCTATCGAGTCCAGTGCTGAGTCATGAGATCCCGTTGGAACTCACCGAAAGAGGCCTGTTTTTAATCAACCTCAATGATGTTGTCAAAGCAGCCATGAAACAGCACGCATCCGAACCTCTTGACACGAAGTCTGTCGAGACAACCTTCCTTGCCGCCAGAACTGACAGCCAGCCCCCAGAGGAAACATCCGACAGCCCCGCGGCAGAGTGTAGTCAGAATGCAGTACCAACCATTTCCAAGTCATGTATCAAGAGCCAGAGTGAAAATCCAGAGACAGGTCATGAGGTAGAGGTCCATAGGGTCGACAACTCAGTTTGCACAGATGGCCATGAAAATCAGACTGATGATCAACAGCTCACGGTTCAAGTGCCCGAGATCAAAGCTGAACCGACCAAAAAGGATCGCCATGTCACTTCTCAATCGCCTGAAGGCCTTGCAGGTCGAGGTGGAAATGCCTCTTCCAGACTTGTCTCACTTGACACTGGCCGATCTGAAGTCCGAGGTGGTGACATTCGGAACGAAGCATCAAGGAGACTCCTACGAGAAGGCATGGGAGGACCAGGGATGGATCAGCTTCATGATCACCAAATATGGGAACAGCAAGGTGCTGGCACATCGCCGGCTGATCCGCTACGTCGAGTTGATGGTGGAAAAGCACGAGCAGACCAACAAGAGTGTGCCCCTGCTGCCTCTTCCAGAGGCCCTTGCAGGAGGGTATGCCATGATCGAAGAGACTTTTGGACACAGATCCATCCGTCCAAAGGCCAAAGCAATGAACATGGCTCCATCTGGAGCGTCAGCGGCAGTGCCACTGGATCACGACGAGGAATCAGAGTTCGAGATGTACAACCAGGGGACTACGGAGACCACTCCATTCCACCAGGAGCCGGAGTTCACGGCACTTCAGGATCGGATGCTCCACCTAGAGAACGCTCTGGGCCGTGTGATCAAGCACTTGGAGGACCAGGCGGAGAAGAACGCCCAGAAGGACTAGATGATCCTGAAGGTGAGCTGATCGCTGAATCATGCCTGGCGATGCACCATGACGTTCAGGATCTGCATAGGTTGATCCGGAAATTCACACAGGAACTCACTGTAGCCCAAAATGAAACAACTCCTTTTGGAAAGCCTTTCATGTTAGGTGAAGTCTTTTGCAGCAGTGAGTCACCACTGACTCGGCAGATCCAGAACATGGGCCAACAAGCGTTCCGATTTGGCCTCACGCAGGGAGACTTATCCACCACCGGTGGCAGACAGAAACTGTTCAAAGCCATAGCATGTCACCGCCCAAAACACTTGTGGTACAGTCCAGTCTGCGGTCCATGGTCATCCTGGTCAGCCCTCAATGCCAGTAGGTCCTTGGAAACCCAGTGGGAATATCAGCAAAAACGCAATGAACTGCGATATGCCTTGGGGATTGTTCTTTACCGATATCAGGTGTCTAGGGGGCTCCATTTCAGTTGGGAACAGCCACAAAGATCATTGATGTTGCATCAACCAGGTATCAATGAGATTCACCAGCATACTCAGGTTTGTCAGTTTGATATGTGTGAGGCCGGAGACTTGAGAGACCCAGTCAATCACCATCACATGAAGAAGGGTATGCAAGTTGTAACCACTCATGAACCCTTGTTCAGAGCCTTGCATGGATTGACTTGTCGCCAAGATCATACTCATCAACAGCTGGAGGGGTCCACATGTGTTCATGGTCACTCAATTCTCAGAACCAAATTTTCCGAAATATATCCCCGCAAGTTTGTCAGGCTAGTGGCCAAAACGCTGTGCCGAAATGACCATCACTGGCCATTCAACTGGCGACCAGGAATTGCCATCAACCAACAGGTCCACCGTGGTGAGACACCGATCCTTGCGGCCAACCAGAGACTGAAAGTCCATAGGCCCATGCGAGCTCGAGGCCGTGACAGTTTTGCACGTTCACAATTGGCAACACCGGAGGAAACGGAGGAGACTGGAGTGAAACGCCGTAGGCTTGAAGGCAAACAATGTCCTGTGCCCAGTTTGAAAGAATGTCAAACAGTTTTTCAAGAGCTTCAACAAATGCTACCCAGAGTTGGTAAAAGAGAACTTCAAAATGTCAACTTCATACAACAACTTCAAGCAATTTTTCCTGATCGACAAATCATCACCGCAGTTGCATGTAGAGGTACGGATCGAACTCTACCACCACCGGATAACTTTCAGTCTTCATTAGCCCCTTACCGCAAGACCCCAATGATTCTTCGACCATCTGGGGAAATCAAATATGAAAAGGAATGGGAAAAGTGGTCAGAACTGTCACAACGACAGTTGATCAGACCTGCTCATCCATGTCGGATTAATATCACTGTTTTTGCCAAGGATTTTGAAGCCGAAACAACTCCAGGTCAATCCAGTGCACCTCCGACAGCAGAGGCCAGTAGAGAAACTGATGCACTTGACCATCCGATGCCAGCCAATCCCGATGTAGTCCAAGTGCAGCCGGAACCACAGGCACCACGGGAGAACGAAGAATCTCCATCACGTGACACCACGAACCCGGTCTCTGACCCTTCAATGAAATCCTCTCCAAATGAAATTTGCAGGCAGGAACAAGGGAGCTATTTCCAAGCTTTGCCCAGGTGGGAACAGAACCAATTACTGACGATACATAAAAATCTGGGCCACCCAACTAATGAGAGACTTGCTCGTGCACTGCAGTTCAATGGTCAAAGACCGGAAATGGTGAAGGCTGCCCTTGAGCTCAGATGTTCCATTTGTGCAGCTAGCGCAGGACCGAAGCATCAGAGGCCCGGAAGACTGAAACCACTCCTTGATTTTAATCACCGAATATACTTCGATGGGATTAAATGGACTAATAAACAAGGTCAGGGATTCCAATTGTACCATGTTGTGGATGCCGGGACTCACTTTCATACTGCGTTTATTGCACCATCACACACCACCAAAGATGTGATTGCCCTGCTGAACCAACACTGGCTGAACTGGGCAGGAGCACCTCAGGAACTGAAAGTAGATTCAGGAACAGAACTCAACAGTGAGGATTTTCAACAATTTCTTCAACGTTTTTCCATCAGATGTACAACTACTGCACCTGAAGCCCATTGGCAAAATGGTACTGTAGAGCGCCATGGCGGCTTTTTGCAACATATGTTGTCAAAGATAGACATGGAGATGCCCATCAATAACTATCAACAGTTGCAAGCAGCCCTGAATCAGTGTTGTCAAGCCAAGAACAGCATGATGATTCGGCATGGCTACAGTCCAGAGGTAATGGTTTTCGGCAAGCAAAGCCGGCTTCCAGGCTCAGTGCTCAGTGATGAATCACTGCCATCCCACACCGCTGCGATCCAAGAAAATTCGGAATTCACACCAAATGAATTCCGAGATCAGCTCAAGCTCCGGGAGGTGGCACGTAGATCATTTCATACAGCAGACAACAGCGACGCACTACGTAGAGCCATGTTACGGAGGTCGTGTCCATCCAGAGGAATGTATCATAAGGGGCAATGGGTAATGATTTGGAGAAATACGGGTCCCCAAAAGCAATGCTGGATCGGTCCCCATAGAGTTATTCTGCAAGATGATAACCATACTATTTGGACGACCCAGTCAGGTAAGCTCTACCGCAGCGCGCCGGAGAATGTGCGATTGGCACTTCCCGATGAAGGGGAGCCCGGAGGGCCTGATCTGCCAGAAGATCTGACACAGTTGCAACAACAAATCAACCGTGCAATCCAAAATCCCGAAGCCATGCAATCCATTCCTGAGCATGAAACCCTGGAATCACCCATCATACCACAATCAATTAATTCCCCATTGTCTAACCCTCAAGCTAGAGTAACTGAGCCAGACCGGCGTGACAGTAGTGCCAGTGAATCCATCCCTCAACCCGATCAAGAACCTGAAGCCCCAAGCCGACAAGAAACCCAGAATCCAGAGGAAGTATCCTCAGAAACCTCAGCAGATCAAGCCGAAAGTTTTATCACCTGCGCTGAAGAAGGATGCGTGCTGGCCAGTTGTGACAGCCAAAACCTTGCCTGGCGGTGTGAATTCGAACTAATGATTCCAGAAGAATTCCATAATCAAGTACCCACACCGGAAGAGACTTGGATTTTGCTAGCAACAAGTGCCAAAAAGCAGTGGACAGAAGTGAAACTATCAGAACTCACGCCGAGTGAGCGGGAAGAATTTGCAGCAGCCAAACAGGCTGAGGTGAATAATTGGATCAAAACTGAGACCCTCTCAGTCATGCTGCGAGACCAGATCCCATCCGACCAAGTCCTTCGATGCCGGTGGATCCTTAC